ATCACCGGGTCACCGGCGACTGGCTTTCAGAGAATCGCCGACGAGGCTTTGTCGACACGCGCGCGCGCCCCCCTCGAGATTATGCGAGTGCGTTCAATGCTCGCGTGCATACCCCGCGCGCATACGCGCGCTGATAACTCTAATACGGTGGCGCACAACAGGTATGATAATGCGAATCGAGCCGGGCCGCAGTTTATACCGAGAGGGGATTAAAGTAATGCATCGATGCACCGGTTCGCCGCATTGAGCCAGATGAAGAGATTTACCCCTCGTGCAAATTACATACGCATTAGCGGCGGGTGCTCTCACGCAGCGCGCGTTTCCGCTACGCAAAACTACGCGCGCATGCACGCGACGCCTCGCGATCTTATTCCAGAATGGACGCAGAACGCAAGACGCTAAGTCGCAACGCAAGAAATCGACCAGTCGCAGTCAAATATGAGAAGAATAATCGACTGTCATCGGTCGATTTCTTGCGTTAAAGCTTAGCGTTTTGCGTTCATTGTAGAATCACGAGACACGGCAGTGTCTCGCGCCAAGTATAAGCGTAGCTAGAACCGTGTAGTTTAGGCGAGTACGCGAGTTGACGTAACGTCGAGAATTAAAATTGCGTGATTAGGTCGCTTCAGCGAGTGGTACTAGTACTATATATTCAGGTTGACGTTTATCAAATCCTATGAGAGAATCAGGTGGAAGGATTACTTGAAAGATATTTGAAAAGAGCACCAATTGCGCACCGGATCAGGCATATATGAGGACTTCCTTATTAGGGCATTCCTTACTTCATCCCTATCAGACCCTAAACATACATAAGACATGCCTGATTTCATTTCTACTCAGGTGGGACGCGATGAAATACGCGAGACAAAACGTGACGATTGTTCGTCCTTTCTGCGCGACGTTCAAGTCGCTCGCGCAACACGATGGATCGGAAATATTCCGCACGGCGAACACTCGATATATCAGGGTAATCCAATTTTTGTCAAAGTCGTTCGCGAAACGAAGATGCGGTACAAATGGAGAATTAACCCCGCAAGACTCGCGTAATGCAATGATGGCTGAGCAAACAGTCCTTTGAAGGAGTCCCTGTGTCCGCTTATAGCGCAGTCATTTAATGGATTCCAAATAGGACGCTTCGCCTATTGCGTATCCCGTGCAAAGCGCATGCTGCAATTAACCACGCTGATTAGGCAATGCGCTTTGAAGCGACATGCAAACGGTGAAAGGTTCATGCATTCCATATATCCCTGATTTTATACCCAAAGGATTCAAATTTCTCGAAACGCAATCGAAATAACGAGAACGCTGATACAACGCGATCGTAATAGCGTTATCGTTTTCTAATTAGCAAAATTAATTCTACTTATTGTCAGTACGAACCGAAATATCGCTTCGAGCCAAGAGGAAAATTAAGAACGCTCGTCATCTGTGCAACGCGCGCGAAGGTAATGCACAGGGAGAATAGATTTTTGTTCCACACAGACGACTTTTCAGATTGTTAAAACATATCGAATCAAAATTTTGCGCTCCAATCATTTCGTTAATAAGCGCGGCCCGGCGGGTACTTTGAAGCAAAATTAGAGGTAGCGATGATTTATCGACGTAATGAGTTAACTTTTGACTAAAACCATGTTTTAGCAATTTACAGCGAGAAGCATGATCAAATCGGGAGTACAGGGGGGTGGGTTAGACGCGGAACGGGGCAACTAAAATGAGCCGTGGGAGAATTCAAAATCGAAGCGCGCCATCAAATACGCGTTCGGGGGATTTACAAGTTATTCAAATATTCCCCGCTCGGTAAGCTATGATGAATACTCGCTGTTCCAATTTAATCCCCTTCGAAGCCCGTCCATCCTCAAATCACATCCTTGCCGCGCTCGTAACTCGACCCTCCCCGTGATTTCAGACGATTCGCCATTAACTCGTATCGAAAAAATTTTTGCGCGAGGAACCGCCGGCACGAAAAACACCCTTCCGGAATAATTTGCGGTGAAGCGGATCTCGGTGCACCGCCAGTAAATTCGAGCGAATTCATTGATCGGCCTGGCACGAGCACAAACGTTAAGCGAGATTAAAAAAAGATAGGATAATATATAATCCCGTATTATTTAAACGTAATCGTTTATCAGCGAAATTAATGAAATATTCTGCGAATTTCACCTGACATTTACTAGATGTGTGTTTGAATTATAAACAGACCCTTTTCCCCCTGTACAAACCAACCGCTTTTTGATATCGGTTTTTGTATGACGATGAAATATTAAAAGTGGATTCTGTTATATTTAAATATACGTTATTTCGTCGGATATAGTTATTAATTTCTCAAGTATCGAAACGCGTGAATCTCTGAATTTTTCCTGTATTTCGAACGAGACGAGAATACGCCAAGTTGCGGTACGCTATCTACATTGTTCGAAATCTGCCGCGGTGTATGCACAATATGAAGCTGCTGGCCCATTTTTGCGATCCGTGCTTACATTGCTGAGAGTAATCATTGCAACTGAAAAGTTGTGGGATTTTGTAGAGACATTGTGGCAGTGCGTTGTTCGTTTTTATATAAAATTCTATTTTTGTACGATGGGAACAGCATGGAACATTGGCGTAGCGTGCTGTGGAAAGTAATTTATAAAAAAGCGTATAATCAAACTCTTTCTCACGCAAAAAAATCGTGAAAGCTTTGAAATATTTGAAAAATCAAGCACGGAGCAACGTGACACCTGAACGCGAATTAACGTACAAAACGCGAAACTAAAATATTTAACATAATAATCTGCTACGCATAATTTTCATAAGAAAATTGATTGTAAACGCGTAGACAAGAGATACGGAGCGTATCCGAGGGTATCAGGGGACCACTTGGCGCGATTGCATCGCATACGGGTGCAAAGTCGAGAGATGGACAAGCGTCATTATTCGAATACGCCGTCGCGTCGCCGACGACGCACGTCGCAAAACCCGCAGGGCTTCATGAAGCGACGTTAACCTTATGCGAGTATTGTCGCGCGTGCGGGCGGGGAATTAATACCGCCAAAGCGAATTGATATTTTGATCACGCAGACCGGAACGACGCTCACGCGCGCGCTCGCGCGCTCGCGTAAACGTAATTTCGTTTATGCGTAATTGAGCGTACTCCGGGAGAGATCGCGGATGGTTATAGTATCTCGTTCGTAAAACTCGATCGCGATAGTTACGCCACGAAATTGCTCCGAATTTGCCATTCCGTCGGTTTTGATCCAACCATCGCGCGCAGTAAAGGGAGGCATTAAAATTTATACAAACCAAATCACAACTGCTGAATCGCCAAGGGTAATTTGTTCCCCCGCCAGTTGGGGCATTTCTTTTCGTTACACGGACACAAGTTTGCAACAACGTTTATATTTTGAAAAGGCACCGCAATATATAAACGCTCTTAGAAATACGATAAAACCCCTTTGTTAGAAAATTAAAGGAGACCGAAAGAAGAAGATCGCTCTCTAAACTCCTTCACAACCAAAGTAAGAGAGCCCGTAAGTGCGTTTAAGCGCGGCATCTACGGCGGATAACACGAGAGAAAGAGAGAGAGAGCGGGACAAGCTGGTCGATGGGAAACGTCGGTCGATAAACCGAGACTGGAACTCGATAAACCGGCTCTCATCGTACGAAATAATAGCCTTGCGATGCGTGTAGCGTCACGAACGAGCCATCGATAGAAAGGGCGGCGAGCCACCGCCGCCGCGCCGGGGCGGGTCAGAGCTGACGAGAATGACGGTACACCGAGGGGTTGCGTTTCCATGGGGCGGGAGAACACGGTCGCCTTTGTCGCGATCGTGGAGCAGAGCGCGGCGTGGGTAATAATGGATAATAATGCTTTAAACGGACGATCGCCAACTCGACTAGACTTGACTAGACTCGACTAGACTCGACTCGAATCGACTCGACTCGACCGCGTATCGGCGATTCGATTGTCTCCGCTATTGCACGGCCATTCGCATCGTCGAAACGCGTCATTCATGCGGCACAAACTCTCTCTCTTACATGTTGCGGCACTCTCATCTCCGTGTGCTCTGGCAAGAGCACAATGTCGCAGAGCACGTGTAAACGGCGTCGTTATACGGAACGTCGTACGGACGCCGTTCGCAGCACCGAAAGATCCCGCGAGCGAGCGGCCCGAGTAAACGGGACATTCCTCCGCGCGATTCTTCTCCTCTCGTGCGTTAACCCTTTGAAGCATGTGGTGCAGATCCACGTTACCACCTCAACTCTTTACTTTCTGGCCATTTAATTTCTAGTTAACGCATTTAGATCGGATATTTTTTGCATTTTTGGGGTATCTTGGCAATAAAAGAATAAAAAAGAATATAAAAAAAGAGTTAAGCAGTCTTTAACATTTATTGTAAAAGTTTTATAAATAAACAAATATGAAAAAACGGCAATTTTTTTCAGAAAAATTCATTATTGACCGAGTTTTTAACATTATTTCTTGAAAACTTTGTACAAAGGGGTTCTCTTATTACAAATCTGATGTCAGATTTTCAAAATTCAAAATGTATGCTTCAAAGAGTTAATTCGATATTATCACTTTTAGCTACCATAGGCAGAAAATAGCGAGCGCTCTCGCATCATTTGGAATAGATAGTCGCGTCTTCTTCGAGTATTAAGCTTAAAGCCTGTTTTAGCCAGTTCGTTCTGGTACCTTGAGCATTTGCTTTTACTTCATCTTCGGTAGGCTGCTAACCTTGCCGAAGGAAACCTCCAATCTGGAGGGCTAAAGGGGTATGTATGGCAAGATATTCTCGGTGGTTGCCACTTACCTTCGGGAAATTACGACGCGTGGTTCTAGCTTGTCATTTAATAGGTTGTCGCTTATATTTGGCGCGAGACACTACCGTGTCTCGTGATAAAAGCAGCGGTGCTCGTGGATTTAAACTCGGATCTTTTCATCTGTTTACTAAGCAGCGCACATTTCTCTGCGCCACACTCGCCACCGATAGTCGCGTCAATGTGATGAAATATGGACTTACCTGATTCTTGCCCTTGAGAACAAGCACATTGGTGACACGGCCGAACGGCAGGCCCAGATGGATGATCTCTGCCTCTGTCACCTCGTTAGGTATGTTCCTAATATGAATGACTCTGGAAGGTTTGCCGCTGTGACTCTTGTCGAGCTTAACCTGGAACACAAAAAGAATGGATCCCTGGTGAGTCGTCGGATAAAATGAGCCGAGAACTTAATGTCCAGCTCGCCACAAATATATAGTCCGGGAAAGGAAGGGAAAAAGAAAGGTATAAATAATCTCATAAATAAGAAAAGATGTTAGGATCGTGTAACACCGAAGAAAATAACGTCGTTACCGTCCTCCCAAGCCTATATATATCGGTATAAGACGATTTGATAACTGTTTAAACATAGTTAACGTTCCCACCCGTTTTACGATAAGTACCCGGTACATATCTCGTATGGGCCACAATATTGTTAATAATCTTGCTACAAAGACAATGTACGTTTTATCTTTCAAATATTATATACACGGATCTCAGTGGAGAAGCTCAATAAAATCTTTCTTATCGCCAAGACGGCGGAACCGGCCCGAGGACTAGTGAGAATCGTTTGTCAAACACAAAGATCGAAGTTATCGCCAACAAAGCACGCCGGGGCAAGACACGGCGTGGTTCGTATGATTACTGTACACCTGCGCTCGACACTAAAGAGATAATGTCGATTTTCCGCTCTACAAAATCACCGGGGGTAGAGTCGAACATCGCGCAGCTTCTCCGGGAGAAAAGGACCGCGGTTAAGCTTATTCTACAATGGACGCAAAACGCAAGAAATGGACCGATCGCAGTCAAATATGAGAATAATCGACTGTCATTGCGGCCGACTTCTTGCGTCCATTGTTGGAACAAACTTTAGCCCGACGAAAGTCGCGCCCGGGGTCTCGCAGAGAGGGTCTTGTCAAATTTTCCCGGACGAGAGTCCGCAATCCCGGGCCGCTTATGTTATTCCATATGCGACGGGAAGTCGAAGAACGCGCAAGATACACACGTGCATTCACCCCCGTTGCGTATGCGTGTGCGAGGGGGTGTGTGCGCGCATGTACGTGTACACTTAAGTCGAAGCTCGTGCCGCCGTGGGCGGTGTTTTCAATCACAGCTCTATCTAGTCGAACTCGAGAGCGCGACGCTTCCTCCTTCCTCGCATCGGAAAGAACCCTCCGAAAGCCGTTCTCCTCTCTCCCTCTTTCGGCCCCACCGCCGCCTGTCCTCGTCTTTTTTTCTCCACGCCGCTTCTCCTAGCCCCGTTCCAGGGCTCTCTTAGGAACGTCGCTGAGGTTTAGTCGGGCTTAACTGATCGGAAAACGCGCTTCTTACCGGGTTAAGGAAGATGGATATTTCAGAGGCGCCCCATCCTTAATCCCCCTTTCCCCTCTCGCGTCCCGGAATGGGGAGCTCGAGTGGCGGATATTTTTATGTGAGCGTGTCAATCGATACAAAAGTAAAGGGGAACAAGAGGCAGATAATTAAAAATAATTTGTGGATTACGAGTTATTAGCGGATAATTGATTTAATTAATTAGTTGATCAATTAATCGCGCGGACGGGTTTACGTGTGTATGGCACGGGGGAAATATAAATATCTCACGGCAACGAAATGGGATAACAAATTAAATGGGAATTTTCAACTTATAACGTGTTCATTTCGTGTACCGAATCGATGGAGCTGCATTACGCGTTACATACCGCGCATTAAAAATGCAACGGACCAAGTGTTCACCGAAAACGACCGAGACGAGCGCGTTTCCCCCCCGACGTTCTAATAAATTTAACTAGAAAATCATTTGTCAATTTTCAAACTTGAATACAGGGCGAGCACGTCTGAATATTTAACAGGAAAATCCAGTTAAACGTTTTATCTTCTCTCTCGTAAACACCGGGGTTGGCCGGCATTAACTCAAGTATACGAGGGAACCACGGCGAGTTGTGTCCGGCAGTGCTCGACTACCCGCGAATGAATTAAAAATCAACCCTGGCCGACGTCCCTTTACGCTCTCCTCAATTTTACCGACGTCCTTTTTGCGACCACGCCGTCGCGCTTTAATCTCGCTTGTACGAGCTGCCGCGACGACGACGACGACGACGACGGCGGCGGCGGCGGCGACGACGACGGCGATGGCACAACAATGAAATCGGATTATAAGCGAGTTGGCGTGCCGTATCGCGGTGGTATGCCGACGACGTAATAAGGCGGCTTCTATGACGAGGGTGGACGACGATAACTCGTTACAAAAAGTGTTTCTAGCTCAACAGGTCAGAGACGTGATGGCACGGCCGTGATTTAATTCTATCGGCTGCGAATCTTCGAGACATGATACTGTACTCCTCTTATGATTTTTTCGTAACAATAAAGCGTGTACGAGAACATAAAATGACAAGGAGATCTTGATATTACTCTTTAAAGTTATGGAGTGTAAATAGAAACCATGAAGCGATCACTTGGAGAGTATTAATTGTTAGCAATTGCTATGAGAATCTTGGAAATTTGTGTATAAAAAGAATCAATCACGGAAATTGGATCAATTAGAAGAGTCCCGTAATTAGCGCGCGAAGAAAAAACAACTCTTGTACGCTCTTGACTCTACGGAACAATAACTCGCCGGGCTTTTTTTTATCTCTGAAGATTTCTTCGTTGAATGAGGAAACGAAAGAGAATAACGGAGCAGCCAGCGGTAGTTTTGTTTCCTACGTCTAATCACGACTGTAATACGTCGGTCACAATAGACGTAATAGAAGGAACGTACGGCGGGTTGAAGCGACCGCAGGTCGGAAAACTCGACCTTAAATGCGAAAAGAAAAAAATGTCTGGAGGAGGCGCGACAGCGAGAGATCCCGGGAAGGTCGGGATGTTACGTGAGTGGACGTCGAATCCAGAAGGGCCTTAATTGCTCGGTGTGTTTCCTGGACGTGCGCGGAAATCACGCCGTGGAGAAACGCGGTCGTCGCGTAAACAAGATTCGCCTCAAGTGACGTTCATTCACCGTCGAGAACGGCCTCAAGAATCACCGCCGCCGCCGTCCCGCCCGCTTCGAGCCCCGGGACGACGTGTTCCCGGGTTCTCCACTTTGATCAGGGCGAGACCAGCGCGCGGTTAGCAACCCTCGTCCCTCCGTCCGACCCTCACTCGTTTGCTCTTGACTACGTTCAGAAACATCAGCCCCGCGTTTCGCCGCAGTTGTTCAGCACGTTCTCGCACACGCTCGTTTTCAACAGCAACGACAACACGGAGAAATTTATTTGATATCTAATGTTTTCCCTCCACCGTTGGAATCGAGCTTCGCCCCGAGGCTTCTCCTCGCCCTCTCGTTATCGTCCGAGGAGACAGGCTTCGTTGGAGCCGATAATTGGGCATAATGGAGGCAATTCGCGGAAAATCGTTCGTAGGAAATAGGCCATGCGAGCCTCGTGCGTCACAACGGCGGGCGCCACCGAAAGTCGAACGTGACCCTGCGATCTGATTTATTGACAAATGCGCTAGCGCGGCTGCGATAGCGTGCATTCTTGTCTGACACGAGGCCGTACGTTTTCCCGATGTTACGTGTCATCGTGCACGCCACGCGCGCGATTGATAAAAATTTCCAACGGCAATTTCGACGCGGGGGAAAAGAGGGGGAGAGAGGGGGGAACGGCGATTAATTGGCAGGTCCGCGGTGTAAAACAATTCGGAAATATCTCCGAATTTTAATGACATTAACAACGGTATTATGCATTACGGTCTTGTACGTCGGAGTTATTTGAATGGCAAATCCAACAATCGCGGCCGCGATCGTTCGCACGCACGCGAATCATTTCCAGACGCGGGCAGATTACGTCGTCGGCCCCCATAGTCGCCACAAGGAGATAGGTATCGTCCGTACTTTTATCTCCCGATAAAACTCTACGCGAGGTGAGATACCGTGGAGCAGTAAAAAGCCAGCGGTAATTGTAGATTCGCCGTGGCGCGTTACAAGGCGCAATTACATCCGAAGCGCGCGTTACCGTCCGGCGTTCCAAGTTCCATGCCGGCAGGAAATCTTACGGTCCAAACACACGAAGAAGCTCAAGCCACCGGCACACGATACTATTTTTCCTACTTGACTGCTTACGAGAGCCAGCGAGGATGCAGAGTTTTAGATCAGGTGACTAAATCCTGATTGGCTCTCGCAAGCAATCCAGTGGGGAAAATCGTGTACCGTTGGCTTTAGTCTTAAGTCACCTGAGGATCAATTCTGTATCTTGCAACATTCGTGGAAATGCTAAAAGTGAGTGGTTTTGTCTCTTTCTAAGAGGACAGTTAGAAAGAGACAGAGCTACTCACTTTTAGCATTGCCACTATAGTGTAAGATACAGAATTGACCCACTGATCGTTGGCTTAAATCCTGATTAGCTCCTCTAAGCAATCCAGTAGGAAAATCAGCATCGTGTGCTGTCGGTTTAAACTTAAGACTTCAGGGATCAATGAAGGCCCGAACGCACAAAAGTACTTAAGACTTAAGGTAAATGACCAATGACAATGGAGAACGTAAACAGCTATTTTGCAACTTGAGCAATGCTGAAAAGTCCGATTGGTTGAAATTCTCAAGTCTCAAGTCTCCCGCCTAAGTTTCTTCGTGTGTTTCCAGCTTGACAGTCGAAAACATAAGCAGCTATTTTAAAACTTGAGCGTGAAAATCCCGATTGGTTGAAATTCGTAAGTCTTACTGCTTAAACTGCTTCGCGTGTACTTGCAGCTTTATGAAAACGATAAGCACGTGATCGTAACTCTCTCGGCCCTTGCGCGTTCTACGCGTGTCGAAGGTGAGGCGTGTAAGTGCAAAGTTAACACGCCAATAATCTTTACGGCGTTGTTGAGCAAACGCTGCCGGTTTTAAGGGCGTCCGTAAATGAGAAGAGCAGCCACCCTCGGCGGAAGCTGCCCATTAGGCAGTCATGCGCAATCATTAAGAGCAATCGTTAACGGCGGATGGATGCGTCGACAAATCGATATCTCGCGTAATCGAACCTTCCGCCAAAGGGTCCGAGCAGAAAAACTGTCGTAACCGTTTACGATTCTGTCGCAAGACTGAAGTCGGTGTCGGGACTCAGCGCACAAAGACGTGTCGTATACGTATGTCGTATTCATCGCCTCGCAAGGCGACTTG